AAAAAAAAAAAAAAAAAAAAAAAAAAAAAAAAAAAAAAAAAAAAAAAAAAAAAAAAAAAGGAAAGACAAATGGAAGCTCACTACAAGGAGGCCAATAAAAACAAAAGAAAATTGCATTGAAAACTCCAATGATAAAAGTTCTACTACTTCTATTTATCCCACTGTTATTAAATAGCCAAAGAGAACCATTTGATATATCCCAAAAAGGCAGATCAAGAAGCACTAATCAAACATCGCAGAATGATTCCTATTATAAGCTAGATTCACTCCAAAAATTTTCTCCAAATTAAAATAGCAAACTGATTTCTCCCCGCTCTGCACATAACACCACTAAGGACACAAAACCATAGAAAAAGACCTCTGGACAAGATCAATAAAGTCAGTCTCTTAGTGGTTTTAATTCAAGACGATCTAGAAAGAGGGGAAACAAACAAGACGAAGCAGGGACCCAACTAGGACAAAAATGATCTACATGAGAACACCTGAAGAATCAAGAGTTTAAACATAGGTGTTAAAGCCACGGAAAAAATGAATTCCATGAAGAAGAGAGGTAAAAAAGACGCACGCATCAGAAGTTCCCCAAACGACAGTCACATAAGATTGAAGTTGTATAAAGGGGAATTCAAAACACAAAATGATTTCATCAATAGATAATTTCAAAACCATGGAAAAATAACGGGGATCAACGAGATTGCATTCAGATGATGTTGTATTTACTCATTATAAGATTGTGCCACAAAACTTCATACTTTAGATGGAGCACGCACAATAACCATTCAACTAGAAGAGCCACATCTTTGAGCCATAAATTTTTCCTCACACAAATGTGAAACAGTGGCACTGCATCCTTTATAGGGGAAATCAACTTCTCTTACAACTGTGACCTTCTTGTAAGATAGATTATTACCCACCATACAATTTGTACTCTAAAATGAGGGATCAAGCTGAAGACAGAGCTTATTTTCCAATCAAGAAACTTAGCTCTTATTGAGGAAGGAGGGGAAGAAAGAATACAAAAGAGCTTAAAAAAAATGAAGCCCAAAAAGGGAACCAAACAACAGCAGACCTGACCAGACAAAAAAAAAAAACCTCAAACAAATGGAACCTGAGAACGATCAAGCTGTAGATAGAATCTCCAAAACAAGGTTGAGAACTAATGTTAAACCAGTGATCTAAAATGATTGTGCATATAAAAGCTCAACGGATAAATTAGGAATGTAAAGAGTCAGGCTGTTAGCATATCAGTAGGTATATTACGTATTGCAAACAACTAAAAATATTATGCATATACATACACAGCTAAGTTGGTTAATATTTAAACAAAAATGGGAAAACAGCAATAAAAAGTATTTGCTAACAAAGAAGAAGTAAAACCATGGAGTACATAAGTATTAGTCACAAGAAAAACAGAACAAAACAAACAAAAAAAGAGTACATAAGTATTGTACCTTGCGGGAGATGTTGCTGGATATATCCCACCAGAAGCTGAACCTATAAATTTTACTCTATCACCTGAAATTTTTGTATTGGGGTAAAATTCTGGTGACTAAATGAAGGAATTCTACAACATGCTAAAAACAAAGGAATAAGAAGACTTAGATGCAAAAAAGAAAAAGAAAAGAAACCAATCCTATACCAATTTTTAAAAAGTTATTCTTTGCTGTCCCAGAGGATGATGGTATTGAGTCCATCTCCATCTTAGGTTGGGAATCAGGGGCGGTTAAAGTAGCATTTGAAGAGCTTGGAGTATCTTCTTCACCAGTCATTTGATCTGTGTTCTTGGTGGTCTCAGTAGATACAGTACTCTGTTTTGAACAACTACAAGACTTTGCTGCATTAACTCCATCCTTCAGCAGCTCTGCTTCCTTTGATGATAAACCCTGCAACACATTGGAGCAAGTTCTCATCACCTCTAACAAAGTGAAATTTCAAAGGAAAAAGTAAAGAATGATATTTCCTTTATGGAACAGAATTACAGGCATAATGTAGAATACTAAGTTCAAGAAAGCCATCAAATAGTGAAATGAACATTAGAGAAAGCTTGACTTGGATGTCAAATAAAAAAAAATAAAAATAAAAAGTGATCACAATCTTACACCCAAAAATGAATGGCTGTCAAATATGAGTAGCTTTGCTCCGTAGTAGTTGGCAAGTGCCTTCGCTAGCATCTCTTGATATATCTCCGAACCTGCAACAACATTGTCCAAATAAATGGAAGTCAAGTATTATTAGAAATATGACAATGGATTCTCTAACCTTTACTACCGAGAGGGAAAAAAAGAGAGAGACTAACCAGCAGGACCAGAAAGTAGAATTCGTGGATTCACTGTATTTAATTCTGAGGCGTACTTTGAATGTTCTTTATGCTTCAAGTGTATGTAAGAAGCAGCAATAAGCACATTCTTCGTATTCTCACTGCAAGAAGCAAACGAAGTCATCAAAATTCCATATATAGTGCATATGTAAATGTTAGAAAGTCTAACTGGGATTAGTTTAGTTTAGTCAATGTTAATTAGTATCTTAGTTTAGTTCAATATTGAAAACGTTTCTACTCGTTGGTGGTTTTAGTTGCAAATAAAAGTTCAATAATGCATTGCATATTTTTTTTTTACTATTAATGACCTCCATTCTCCCTTACAAGCTCAATTTGGTGCCTCTCGTATTACTAATTTTTCAGATCAACAGAACCTTGGAAAAACCATGATACAACTTTTATTATATTGTCTGATCCACAAGCTTAAATACACTCCGCAAATTTGTGAGAGTTGTAAGATAACATTGCAAAGTAGGTGGTTTGAGGAGTTTTCAATCCAAAAATGTTAGGCCTAGTGCCTAGTATGGTGTATGTCCCTCTCAATTATCCTAAGAACAACCAATAAACATAATTCACACAGGTTGCAAATCACCTAGTCTGTCCCCCTTGAATTTACAAGACACTCCATTTTGACGTAGGACCTCAAGAATGAAACAAATCCCGCTATTTTGATCAGAACAATGGTATACACACACCAACAAAGACACTCATGCATGTCTATGGAGTCTCGAAAGAGAAAAAACATGGATAACTCCAAACATGTAATGCACATTCTAGTCACATTGTGTAATAGAAAAAATGTTGAGAGTTGACATAGAAATGGTAACTTATCACACAACAATTAGAACAATGTAGGAAGAACAAAACATGTAATGGTGGGATGTGTACCTCAAATAGTATGGAAAGTTCTCAAATGAAACTTCTAAGTCTCTTCCATCAACAATTCCTGCATGAACATCTTCTTTAAATGCTGCACACCGCAAAGACATTCCTGAGGTTGATGCTGGCTGCAACTCCCCAATCCACTGGTTTCTATCTTCCATTACCTGTTTACAGATACTTTTGCTCAATTTCAGTTTACAACTAGTTGACTGAGCTAACATCCTGAACAAAGGCCCTATCAAATCATTCACCCCAGAGAGTTTTACATTGCCTGCCTCTATGACAGCATCTGGATTGGAGCCCGGATGAAGATTCCTGCTAGTGGTGCTTGAGTCTACAGCTTTGTCATTTCGCACTTCTGGATTTGAGTTGGCTTCAAGAGCATCAATTTCAAGTTCCATTGCATCATGAACAACAGAATTAGAAGGAAGTTCAGCACCTTGGTGTGTTTTACCGCTGGTCTGAGAGGGAGGCTTCCAACGTGATATATCCTGCCTGAGGCTTGAAAGAGATGCCAATATCGAGGCCCCAGCCACAGCAGAAGGATCACCAGTCCTCTTTCCGAGCTGCAAGAATTTTCCAACACCATTTTGAACATCTAAACCTTTAACAGAAACCTCATTCATAAGTTGCTGAAATATCTATGTTGGTATAAATCAAGAAAAATGCCACATTCATTGAAAGGCAACAAGCAGGAATTTGTTAGATGGAGGATGGCAGTAGATAAACAATGTATAAAACAGACGAACAAAAAAAAAATGATGGATTTGATAACTGAAGGATACATAAGCATGGTTCCCCAAAGCACCAAAGACCACTTCGTCACCAGAATTTAGCACACAGCTGGAGCTCTTCTTGACGGTCAACCCATTAACCATCACCGATCCCTTGCCTCCCGTACTTTCAAGCACTGCTACAGCACTACCCTCACGCTGTTCACCCCCAGAGTAAAAATCCAATGAATTATTCATGGTTCATAAATATGTACTAAAATAATTGCAGTAGAAAATGTCTAAGCACTTGAGAGAGCTCTATTTTAGTTCATTTAAACAATGCCGTAGAGTTAGTTTGTTTAACATAAACTGTTTTTTCTGTATTTTATTAGCTAAATGGATTTTTAAATAGGTGCACTTTGAAGTTACCTGAGTGTGCTTGATCTTGCAAAGTGTCCCGCTAATCGTGTGATCCTTCAAGGGAAAGTTGCAACCTCTACTAGAACCAATGGTAAAATTTGACGAGAAAATATCAACATTGGGATTCTGCGTTAAAAACATTGTTCAAAATCCAATAGATGGAGTGAAGTTGTATCAAGTGAAGAACGGGTGAGAACTTAATTTGACTTGGATCTACAATTTGTAAAAACTGCTGTGTAAAAACCAAATGATATGTTTCAATTACTTGGATAAACGTTGAATTACCTGACCGAACTGTGATAGAAGTCTACACCAAGGAGTTGTCGTCTCAAAATTTGGATTCTGCTTCGCAGCATAGAGACTCCAAGATGAAAATGAACTCCTAGGCTTATCCCCCACCAGCGAAGTTCCTTCAACATTTGAAAACAAACCAAATCAAACCCAGACGCCGAAAGTTACCTTCACTCTACATTTCTTTTTCTTTTCTTTTAATTTCTTCAATCAATTAAGACTAAAAGTTATGTGACCATTAAACTTGGGAGTACGAACCACCTACCCTCGGCGATAGGAGTGGTAACAGCAACAGCCGCTGGTGCAGCATCCTCCTTCAAAGAGCTCACACCTTCTCCAACGTCAACTCCGGCGATCGGACCACCGCCAGGTCCATTATCTCCAGGATCCACAGTCGGCGGGGTGCATAATTCTTTAGAATTCTCCACCGCCGGCATCGATTTCTCTGAGCCACAGCCATTTTCCACCTGAAACCGCAAATCTCTTAACAAATCAATACCCAAAACCTCCAAATAAGCTTCAACCAACGTTCCAATAAACTCAAGACTGCCAAAACAATACTTAGATTCCACTCATCAGACAACAACCTTTTGACGCTTCGGTGACGATGGCTTGTCCTCCGAGGACGAAGATCTTTTGCTGTTGCTTCCAGAGAGAGATCCACTCCTTCTCGTTGAAACCATGACTCTCTCCTCTGGGTTCCTTTTTCCCCTCCTTTTTTTCTTTTATTCTTCCCCTTCGATTTCCTATCTGTTTAACGCCAAATAAAGGACACGAGGAAATTTAATAGAAATGTTAATTTTTAGTTTTTATATTTTAAATAAATTCCGGTGCTTGAAAGGCTGCATGGAGATTCAATACCCATCTTCAAAAAAATAATAATAATAAATAAATAAAAATTATTGAGAAAATATTTTTTTTTTATTGTTGTTCAAAATATTTTAATTCTATAACTAAATTTGAGTATTTTAATACTATATTTGTATTCTTAGGTTAATCTATGAGTTTCTATATTTTTTTAGTTTAGATTTTATATATTTATTCGGGGGGTTTTTACTAAATTTACTTTTGGTATGTGTTAATTTCATATTAAATAATATAATTATTTTAAATGAAATTAATAATAAAATTCAATATCAACCTATTTAAATTAATTATCAGTTAAATACCAAAAATAGTAATACTAAATTTTTATGGATAAATGTGTACAAAAAAAAAGTAAACTGAAGATTAAGAACTAATATTTTTAAATGTATTAAAAATTAAATTTTAAAGTCAATGGTAAAAGAATATAACATTTTAAAATTCAACAACTTAATTAAATTTTATTTACAGAAATAATATATATTATTTATAAATATTTATTGCGTCATATAATAATAATAATAATTTTTTTCAGAACGTATCAATTAATACGTGTAATTACTGTTAGATAATACCAAAACAACATTTTTTTCTAAATATTTATTACTACATATAATTATAATAATAATGTATTATTCTTGTATTTAGTTATGTTTATGCACGATACAAAATTAGGGGTGTACATGGTCCGGGTTGGATCGAGTTGGGAGATTTTTTCTTTCACGGTTGGCCCAACCAACCCAAAACTTTTTACAACCCAATTCAAAACTTTTCACAACTCAACCCAATCCTCTATTTTCGGGTTGGGTTGTCAACTTTATAAAAATTAAAATAATAAAAAGAAACATGTATTTGTCTGACATCGAACTCGGACGGAAATATCCTTAGTTGAACTTAGTATTACTTGCAAGCTCATTAATATGAAAGGATTCTTAATATATGCTATATATTTTTATTTGGCTCAGGTCATCCCGGTTTTGCTCACGAACTCGAAACCAGATCGATTCAGTTCGGGTTTAGAAAAATGAACCCAACCCTGCCCAAAATGCTAATCCAACCCAACCCAACCCAAGCCTTATAGTTTGGGTTGGGTTGGTCCGATTGTCGGGTTGTCGGTTTGAATGTACACCCTATACAAAACGACAAAAAAAAAATTTATTAGCTTAATAATTTATTAATATGAGTTAGAAATGTTTTTAACTAAAATAAAGAGTAATTTTATTTAAGATATTTTATTTATTTATGTTCACCGCGTCCAAATCCAAAAAAATTGAAATCTCTACCGTTGATTTACGAGGACCTCAATAAACCGTTCGCGTGCAGTGCCTTCGCTTTAAATACTCGACAAAGCCGAAGCCCTAAAACCCCTTCAGCTTCTGCAATACTTTATTTGTGAGTTCTAGCCTTGGTGTTGGCGGTAAGCTTCCGATCACTCATTTTCGAAATTTTCGAATTGGATTGTGTAGTTATCGCCCAAAGACTAGGATTGTTAACTAGCTGTTTGAGTTTTTGAATAGGAAGAAATCAAAATCACTCAGCAATGGCGGTTTCATTGAGCGATGTCAAGTCGGAAGCCGGTCTAAAAAAACTCGACGACTACTTGCTCAGTCGTAGCTACATTTCTGGGTTAGTTATCATCTCAATTATCTTTATTTGAATTTTTGTTCATTGGAAGATACTTGATTTGTGCTGGAATTGTTGAAAGCAATGGTAATGGTTTTAACATTGACTGTTTTGAATCTGTTCTTAATATGTTCGACGAATGATCATCCTCAGGTATCAAGCTTCGAAGGATGATATTGCTGTTTACGAAGCTCTATCCAAACCCGTTTCCAGCGACTATGTCAACGTATCTAGGTGGAGCAATCACATCGAAGCACTCTTGAGAGTCTCGTAAGTCACCTAATTGCTTAATTTTGATGCTTAATTCCATGGAATTTATATTCAGACATGGATGGTTTTGTTCTCGCTACTAACTTGTTCAATCGCTGGCTTATATTATGGTTTTATAGTGCTGTTTTTGGAGAGGGTTCCGGCGTTAAGTTCGATTCTGCAGAAGCAATTGCAACTCCACCAGCTGCTGATGCAAAGGTGATAATGTTACGCAATTTTTTTTCCTTGTTATGTGATCCATATACGCGAGAGACAATAGATTGTGCTTTATCCTGCTTTTAGAATTTAAGATTTACTCTTAAACACTTACCAGGCTAGCGGTGCTGACGACGACGACGACGATATGGATCTATTTGGCGAAGAGACTGAAGAGGAAAAGAAGGCCGCTGAGGAGCGTGCAGCTTCCATAAAGGCTTCATCAAAGAAGAAAGAGAGTGAGTTTTAATCTCCATCGATTTTGGCCTCGTTTTATATTGTTCTCTGATTTTAATGACGTGTGGTGCTTCTTGTTCTCTTGGGTATTTGATTTTAGGTGGCAAATCATCAGTTCTGATGGATATCAAACCTTGGGATGATGAAACTGACATGAAGAAACTTGAAGAGGCTGTAAGAAGCGTTCAGATGGAAGGCTTGCTTTGGGGAGCATGTATGTTCTTATATCCATGCTGTTGGTTTATAGGCATGATATTGCTTCATAATGTTAAAAGGAATATGCACACCTTTTGGTTATTATTCAATGATAATCTATGTTTCTCTTCACTGCCCTTGAATTTAGTTGATCCGTTGATTGATTCGAGTTCACTGCTTATCAAGAGAAAATTGGAATTGATAGTTTACATGGGCTTTTTCTTATCCTTTTTTGTTCTAGTTGTCTAGAGCGCTATCTCGTGTCAGTGTCATTTATCATCTAATACTCGAGCATCGTGTAATGTAAATGATTGTTATTTCTTAGATATATGTGGTTTGACACTTGTTTAATCTGCAGCCAAACTCGTCCCTGTTGGATATGGTATCAAGAAACTGCAGATAATGCTCACAATTGTTGATGACCTTGTGTCCGTTGACACTCTCATTGAAGAATATTTGACAGCTGAACCCATAAACGAGTATGTCCAGAGCTGTGATATCGTTGCCTTCAACAAAATCTAGTAAGTGCCATGTCTTGATTTTGTTACTCATAAGCTGGGGTTCTTTATACTTGTTTGTTAACACTTTTTAAGTGCATAAAAGTCGATCCAAACATCTGCGAAACGTACTCGAGATCTATTTCACCAGTTCTTGAATTCGCCACATTTTTAACAATTGGTTGTTACTCGTTGCAGAGGTCAGCTTCTATCGAGCCCAAGAGCAGGTCGTTCCAAAGATGAGATCAAGTCTACGAATGAATGCGTGTTGTTATTTGTTCATGATTGCATGCCTGTTTCTCGCTTTATTAGTCTACACTAAGTATACTTTTGTTTTGGGTCCCGTCTTCTATGAAGTCATGGCATTGCTCAATCTTGTCTTGCTCAATCTTGTCTTGCTCAATCTTATCTTAATAAGATCCAGTGATACGCATATGTGCTATGAACTTGATGAACTTATTGATGATTTGAAGATGTGAATGAAATATGTCCAAATAAAAGTAGTTTTCATTAATTTTATTTTGTGTTCATTTTCTATTAATCAGTCTTAAATAATTAAAGTAGTTTTCATTAATTTTATTGCACAGTAACAAATAATTTAAAAATACACATCATAATTATTTCAGATTAATAAACCAAAAGTAATTATTAGTAAAAAAATAATCAAAGGAAAACTAAATTCAAAATTGAAGGTTAAATGTAATAGTTTGAAATTTAGGGACTAAGTAAAGAAAAACTCATAATTTATGAATAAAACTGTAATTTTTAAAATTAGGGATTCATAAAATCTATATTCGAAATTTATGGACGGAAAAAAAAATATATATATATATATATATATATATATATTTAATGAAATAAGGGTTAAGAGGCCGATGATGGGCCATTATCTACAAATGGGCTTGCGCCATATAAAAGCAGGCTTGCCCGCGCAGGACATGATCTTTCTCTGGTTCGTAGTTGTTGGTCGAGGACCGGGGAAGGGGAAGCGAGGAGGAAGAAGAAGAACGAAAAGCCATGCCGAAGAGAACAACGCATACATACTCGAGCGAGGACGCCGCACCAGATGGACCAGATTCTGATCTCTTCGTTTACTACTGCAAGCATTGTGGATCGCACGTCCTAATCACTGGTACTCCTTTGCCTGGACTCTAGACTCTCTTTATTTTTCCCTAAACAAGTTCGTTGAGGATAAAATAGGAATAAATTCGTTGCTTCAATGTGGAATCAACAGTTAGAGATGATTGGAAGGTATTTATGTATGAACTGCATGCAGTTCGATGAAAATGTTCGTTCTATTTGACGGACGGATGCAATCTAGAGTAGGTTATCTCTCCGCTTTATTGTAAAAATTAAGCTGGGATGAGGAAATTTAGGTGCACTTTACACTATCTTCATGCCAAGTTGCCTTCTTCTTGAAGCATAGTATTCGTGAATTAGAGTTCATGAACTAATGATCAGGATTATTTTGCTATCATTCCAAGAAATAAGATCTTTATGTGGCATTTAACCGTACTGAACACATATACTATAAGATACTCAATTGCAGAAAATGCCAAAAAGGAAGACAGACAAGGCTTTTGTGTTGGACAAGAAGAAACATCTTGCAAGGTTAAATGTCAATGAAGCGGGAAAAGTTCTATTGAAAAGGTAACCCTACTTTCTCTCTACGTGTGTGTGCCCGCGCTTTTTTGGGCATTTCACTTCTGTATAGAAGGACGTGAATGAATTTGCATTGGAGATGGTCTACAGGATTTTACCTTTAAGTTGATATCTGTTCTTTAGATGTTCAAAGATTGATGTTTATGAGGCGATGTAACCAATTTGAAATTTCTGACTAGTTTAATAAATTGGGGTTCAGCATAAGGTTCGCTTTGTACTCTGTGTTGCCCATTACAATATAAATGTTTCCCAAATAGTTACATGTAACTCGACCTCATGAAGATATCATTCCATCTGAAGGATGGATGCAGGATTGTAATCTAGAGGAGGCTCTCTGTTTTATTGGTTAAAATAAGCTTGAATCAGGTAATCTAGGTGCATTCTGTACCATCTGCGTGTGGAAAGACAATCCGTGCATATGCCTTCTTTGAGAATGAACCGTAAACAAAAAGAATAAATATGAGATTGATAATTTGAAAAGAGGAGAGTTTCAGGCACGCATTTTCTTGTACAGTATAAAATCACAGCCACATTCAGGAGTGGGCTTTCCTCTTCTGGGAGAGATTAATGATCTCACTGTGAAAATAGAGTCTAGGCGTGACCAAAAAAAAATTCTAATAAATAAATTACAATTTAAATGTTCATCGAATTATGTTGGGAAAAAATGGAAAAGTATTGAATTAACTTTTTTGTAGCTTATAATTATTTTTCAGGGGTGAAGGGAAACTTGAAAGGCAATACCGCATGAACTGTATAGGCTGTGGACTCTTTGTGTGTTATCGCTCAGAGGAAGATTTGGAATTTGCTTCTTTCATTTATGTTGTTGATGGTGCACTCAGTACTGTGGCTGCTGAAACCAATCCACAGGTATGATAGTCTATTATAATAATAGCAACCGTGATTCATTATATTGCTCATATTGTTTATTTTTCACTGTAAGCTTCTACACAATAATTCCAATTCAAAGAATTTATCTAGCACTTATAGCAATTCATTGCTAACAGTTTGTTGGTAAGTTGATCTTTCGTCAACTTCTGATGGACATGTCATAGTACGTAGAGTTCTTAAAGAATGGTTTGTAACATATTATTATATTGCCAGAATACAGCTTCTATTATATTATTATAAAAATCATTGAGGTGAAAATAATGAAAGTTTTACCAGCTCTTACCTTCTTTTGGTTGTTGAGCTTTAATTAATTCTTGGTGCACATACAATAACAATATTAATGTATAATCTTCTCTACAAAGGTGTTTCAATATCTTATTGTGATTTGTAACCAATCACATCAATTCTCACTCAAGAAAACAACTCTATTAGGATGCTCCTGTGCCACCCTGTATATCTCAACTTGAAGGAGGACTTGTCCAAGTGGCCATAGAAGTTGAAGATCGAGCACAGCGCTCAGCAATCACAAGTATAAAAGATATAATTGCTGTCATATTTGTCTTTATGCACGTGATCTTTATCTGTAAACTTCAATTAACCTTTAATTTTGTTGTAGACAGAATGCAAAGGTTTTACATCATTGCACGAATCCTAGCATGCGATTGTGATTCAAATATCGTAACTAGATGAATTCTTTGACGATTAATCTTTGTTATTGTATTGTGTAACAAAGAAGAACAAGAAAGGTCAAATTCTGGTATCTTAGATTAAGTATAATTTCAAGAATGAAAGTATACAAATCTAAGAATATCGTAGATTTTGGTCTAAAGATCAATTTTTATTTTGAATGCTAGCTTGTTAACGTACTGTCTCTGGAAGATAAGTAAAACAATTTTTTATTTGATTAGGTGGGAATTTGGTGGGTGAACACTAGGAACAGTCGGTTTATGCTGAGAGTAATAACTTGTATACATTCTAACTAAAAATCTGTCTTAACTTGTACGCTGCAACTGTTGATATCTATTCACATATAATATTATTTTTTTCTTGATTATAGATTCCTCTCTCATACAAACACACACACACACAAGAATGATATATTTTCTTTTTGCAGGAGTAAATGCTGATGATGTACGTGTTGCTGTTGCTGCTCCTGCAGCCCGGGGAGAAGCCAACAATGAGCTTTTGGAGTTCATGGGAAAAGTACATTCTGATTCTTGTTGAGCTATTGATATATGTTTTTGGTTCTCGATCTTCAATGCCTGCATTATTTTGCATCCCCTTTCTCTAGAATTTGTTGGGGGGGAGTGATCAGGGAGCATCTTTGGGATTTGATTAAGATAAGCATCTGTTAATAGGGATTTATATAACAATTAGGTTAGCCTAAAATCCCTTTTTTTTTTCTAATTGTGCGTGAGGATGCTTGTTTTTGGGCTCGATTTTCATATATCTTTTGTATATCCTTCCTTCCTTCCTTCTTGGTTTCTTAAAAAAATAAAAACAAAACTTCGCATCCTCTCTCTGCCTCTGCATGTACTTCAGCCATCTTCTTTTACTTGAAAAACTATTTTCTGCAAAACAGGTCTTAGGACTGAGGCTTAGCCAAATGACTCTCCAACGGGGATGGAATAACAAATCGAAGCTTCTTGTGGTAAGTTGATCACTCCTGTAATGCACATTATATTCAACACTCCCTTTTCTCTTCTCATACTCATACTCATACTCATAGGTGTTGTTTCTTGCATCTTACACTGTCACCCACCATCTGTTTTCTTCTTCTTCTTTTTTTTTTTTTTTTTTTTTTTTTTTTTTTT